GGGATCTCACGGTGGGTTTCATTTGTATTAATGGCTAGCATGTGGGCTTGTTTTTCGGGACCAGCCACTGAACTCGGGGCCTTGTGTTTGTCAGGCAGGCGCTTATGCTGCAGAGCTATATCCCTGGCCCATTCCGCAAGTTTTTATAAGCATACTGGCAATGTCTATGTCTGTTTTGGTGAGATGGATTTCAAATCTTTTGCCCTTCTTAAAAAATGAGTTATATGTCTTACTAAGTTGTAAAAATTCATACCATACTCTGGAAATAAGTCTCTAATTGTATACATGATTAATAATGTTTTTTTCAGTAAAGTATGTCAGAAAAAGATAGTTAACACAATAAAAAATCATAAAGGCCAATAACAAAACAATTTAATTACACTCTAAATTTTACTTGACCCTGACTATCCTAACAATGAAAAAAAGTATTAAAAAATTTCAAAGTAAAATCTGGCATAGGGCTGGCCAGATAGCTCAGCAAACTAAAGTGCCTGCTTAGGCAGAGCACAGCAGCCACAGTTCGATCCCCAGCAAGCCATGTTGGCCCTGCCCCAGGGTGGCTGAGACAGGGACTAGACTGGGAGTGGAGGCACAAGCCTGCAACCCCAGCACTTGGGAGGCTGAAAACAGGAGAATCACTACAAGTCCAATCTACATAGTGAGACCCTGTAGACGCTGTACTAATACACTAAAAAGAAAAGCTGGGCATGCTGGTGTCCTCATGTAATCCCAGCATTCTGGAGACTGAGACAGGAGAATCCCAAATTTAAGCCCACCCTGGACAACACAGCAACTTAGCAAGACCATGTTAAAAAAAAAGGCTAGGAATGTACCTCACTGCAAAAATGCGGGGCTCAGCCCCCAGTATCAAAAAGGAACCTGAAATAAAGCTAGTGCAGTGGTACATTCCTGTAGTACCAGCTACCTGGTACACTGACGAAGGAGGTTTACGTGAACACAGGAGTTCAAGACCAGACAACAATACGGTGAGATCCTATCTGAAAAAGAAAAAGTAAAAGAACCAAACTGGAATCCCAGCACTCAGGAGGCTGAGGCGGGAGGATCACTCTAAGTTTGAGGGCAGCCTGGGCTACGTAGTGTGCATACAGGAGGCTGGGCAGGGCCAGCCGGGCCCTCTCGGCAGGGCCAAGGCACACAGTACACAAGCCACCACAGTGCCACTCACTGGCCACCACGGAGCTGCAGTCCAGCCTGCGCTGCTGCTACCCAGGCACAAGGCCCATCCCTGCTTGGTCCTGTATTGTCCATGTCCAGTGAGTCCAGCATAGCCTTAGTGGCTCCCAGCTCTGGTCACAGGACAGCAGGAGACAAGCCTTTGGCGAAGAAGGACACAGTCTTGTCCTGTATCTTGTACTGGTAGGTGAGGCTCCGATCCCT